TTTTTTTTTTTTTTTTTTTTTTTTTTTTTTTTTTTTGCCTTCAGGTAGCCATTTATATAGCCCCTTTTCAGTGCCCCTACGATGTTACTGAGGGAGATAAGTGGAGTGCCCATTTCACACACAGCCAGGATGAAAGGGAAGAGGGCAGCATGATTCCCTGTCCTCCGCTTCTTCATACCGAACACGGCGAGCAGGACGTAACTAATGAGATGGGTGCTCGTGACCCACACTTGTCGCATTCGTCGTGTCGCGCGAGGCACATTACTCTCCTGTTTGATTGACCCATTCATTTGTCCCTCCAGCTGGGCCTCTTTCTTCCGCCTCGTCTGTACCCATACGTTCACAAGCTTAGTACCATTGAAAAGGACACAAAAAAGGACGTAGGTCAAACAGACTATGTGCGTGACGACGTCATCATGGTTATATGCTCTCCTGTGTGTGTAGTACTTCTGTTCTAGTGCGAGAGTGCTCTTCAATTTTACCTCCCCTACTACAGGCTGCTTCTTTCCTCCCCCGGGAGAAAACCATAAGGCGGTAACTACCAAGTACACCACCAGATAATTCAACAAGAGGGTACTGCAAAGGAAGTGAGCTACGTTGATTGAAGGGAGGTACCTTTTCACCAATTCTCTAACGTGTCGTCTCGTGACCATCTTCCTTTTTACACCACTCTTCTACGTCATTTTCTTTGCTGTGTACCCCACGGGGTTGTGTGTGTTCACACGGGCCACATTTTTGGGGGGCAAGCAGCCAAGTGGGGTCAGGTGTGGCAACTCAATGAGCTGCTGAACAGTCAACGAGTTGGCTCGGGTTTATATGAACAGGTCAGGTGGTGCGGAAAATAAAAAAAAAAAAATCAACAAAAAATCAAAGTTCCATTCGTGCGAGAAAAAAAAAAAAAAAAAAAAAGGAAAAAATGCAGCGTGCAAAAGAATCACTTGCAAAGCGCTACACGTGTGAATCGGCAGGACAGAGAAGAGGGGCTACATAACTTTTACATTTTTAAAGTTGAAGCCATGTTTACCCATAACGTTGAAGGTCAAGTATCCCTCCTTCTTCGCGGAGACGCAATTGTTCACGTCGTCATCCACGAATAAAATTTCGTCAATGCTTACTCCAAAGTCGGTCCTGATCTGTGGCGTGGTGTGAAGGGGGGAGGAGCGGTGTGGTGCGGCGCGATGTGTACAGAGCAGCGCGGTGTGGCGTGGCACCGCTTCACCCTCCTACCTGCTTCAAATGGTACGACTTGTCGTGACTCATGGGCTTGTCCAGCCCCAGCTTCCGATACTGCCGAGGCTCCCGGTAGTACCTGTGTAGGAGGAGCCAAGGGGGGAATGGATTCACAAAAGAACAAGTGCACACAGCATTATAAATATGTGCGCAGGCAGAATATTATATATTATATATTATATATTATATATTATATATTATGTGTCATGTGCACAGTTGACAAGGCATCTGACAAGCCACCCTTTTTTTTTTTTTTTTTTTTTTTTTTTTTTTTTTTTGCCTTCAGGTAGCCATTTATATAGCCCCTTTTCAGTGCCCCTACGATGTTACTGAGGGAGATAAGTGGAGTGCCCATTTCACACACAGCCAGGATGAAAGGGAAGAGGGCAGCATGATTCCCTGTCCTCCGCTTCTTCATACCGAACACGGCGAGCAGGACGTAACTAATGAGATGGGTGCTCGTGACCCACACTTGTCGCATTCGTCGTGTCGCGCGAGGCACATTACTCTCCTGTTTGATTGACCCATTCATTTGTCCCTCCAGCTGGGCCTCTTTCTTCCGCCTCGTCTGTACCCATACGTTCACAAGCTTAGTACCATTGAAAAGGACACAAAAAAGGACGTAGGTCAAACAGACTATGTGCGTGACGACGTCATCATGGTTATATGCTCTCCTGTGTGTGTAGTACTTCTGTTCTAGTGCGAGAGTGCTCTTCAATTTTACCTCCCCTACTACAGGCTGCTTCTTTCCTCCCCCGGGAGAAAACCATAAGGCGGTAACTACCAAGTACACCACCAGATAATTCAACAAGAGGGTACTGCAAAGGAAGTGAGCTACGTTGATTGAAGGGAGGTACCTTTTCACCAATTCTCTAACGTGTCGTCTCGTGACCATCTTCCTTTTTACACCACTCTTCTACGTCATTTTCTTTGCTGTGTACCCCACGGGGTTGTGTGTGTTCACACGGGCCACATTTTTGGGGGGCAAGCAGCCAAGTGGGGTCAGGTGTGGCAACTCAATGAGCTGCTGAACAGTCAACGAGTTGGCTCGGGTTTATATGAACAGGTCAGGTGGTGCGGAAAATAAAAAAAAAAAAATCAACAAAAAATCAAAGTTCCATTCGTGCGAGAAAAAAAAAAAAAAA